CATCTATCGGAAATCTTGAAATCGAAAAAATAGAGATAATTGAAATTATAACATATGTGTTTGTAGTTACGAGGTCAAAGGTTTACAACAATATGTCATGTCAAACTTGGATGGATTTTTCAAACGAGTAAACAAACAAACAATGAAATCATTGAACACTAACAGATGTGAAAAAGAAAATAAATAATTGATTAAAATATAAATAAACTTTCACAAAAATGAACGAATGACCGATGAAAAATAACCTGTGTTTTTTAAGTGATCAGCAGTTTTTATTTTTAAAAACTAATTTATTTTTTTATAATTGAAAAGATGTTGCCACTAAAAAATGTTTCAATGGATCTATGAAGCTGCTAATTGTAGGTGCCATACAAAAAATTTGTGTTAGAAAAAATTAACGAAATGGTTTTGATAGAAAAAACATTAATCCAAACTATATTTATGGTCGTAAGCCTTGAATGTTTATATATTGCATAGTTAAATTTGAAGGCTGGGCCAAATATTTAAATAACCTGGGTGACATTTAATAACATTTTTTTCTTATAGCACAACTTTTTGTCAATTTTTTAAGCTAAAACGATGCCTTTTAGGCATACCGACAAAGATTCAATCTATAATTTCATCAATCTAATCAACTTTTTAAACTGGTTAAACTTTTCGTACAATCTAACTTCGGGTCATGTTCCCACGGCTTCAGTTTATAATAGCATCGTTCATTATCTTAAGAACGGTCCTTCGACTTAATTGCACTAACGCATTAGCATACAAAAGATCACATATGATTTATTTGTGACAACAATCGCACATTATTGTCAGGTCTTACTTATGATTTCATTACATTATCTATTTTTATATGATTATTACATTTTTGTATTTGCGACGCCATGTTCAAAATATAATCTTACGTGTTTTTACTTTTTAGATCTGAAGCAAACTTCTAAAACTAGAATGACGTGAAATCTTGTATATAACTGGAGAAAAGGAATAAAGAGCAAACAAAAAACAAAAAAAAGAGTGACGAAAAATTAATTGAACAATTTTACGAAAATAAAGTTATAAATAATGTGAATAATATTAAAATTAATGAATAAAACGAAGGCTCTTGTAAAAAATGATGAAAAGAATCAAAAATTAATAATCTGTCGCAGGTACAAGTGGTGATTGCTTGAAGTTTTTATGAAAAATGTGACTTCATTTTTTAATGTCGTAGAAGAATTATAAGAATATTTTCTATAAAATATTAATTAGATTATAAAATTTTTTTCTAAAAATTTCAATCGCGTCAAAAATTTGAGAAAAAACTATTTTAACAAATTCCAAAACAAAATAATAAAGAAAAATGAATTAAATAATTTTTCAATTTCAGTTCATTTCTTATAAAAATAAAAAAGTAAGAAAAAATTCTAAGTTTGACACAAATAAAATGAATAGAATAAATGTTCATTAATTTTAACCATCTGTTATAAATATCATAAAAAAAGCCAGCGTGAGTTTTTGTCTTTTTATAATGTAAATACCGAGCCAACCAATCACATTCAAAATCAATCAACCAGCCTCTCAATAGCGCATAAAATCAATCAAACAACCAACCAAACAAATACCAACTGAATAGCAAGTCAGAAATATCTGGCACACATGATTGTAAACTGAAAAAAAAATATATAAGAGTTCGCCCTAAATGTTGGCACATATTTATTGAATTGAATGAACCAATCAACCGAATAACAACAACTACGTCAACACAAAAGTATAGCGCATTTAATATGAAAAAATTCTGGCTTCTTCACCGAAAAATTGAAAAAAATAATCAAGTTTATTTGGAGCACACACTTGAATTAAAAATAAACAAACAAAAAAAAAACCATTTTTTTTAGTTCTAACTCGTCAAATCGGACATAAATATTTTCATAACAAACATATCAAAAAATTACATTCGTGAAGTCCTTGTGTCACTTGTTGAATATCACCACATTTCAACTACTGCAAAGTGTTAAAGATGGGTTTTGTGGAGGTCGATGGTCACCAATGTCATGAAAAGATGGAAAAAACGTGTTCAAGGCGTTCAAGCTCCAACTAACAAAACTCTTGATATACCTACCATAAAAAAGTAGAATAAATATTACACTTATAAATGAAAAAAAACAGATGAACAAACCAACAAATTCAAAAAAACAACAAACAAAATTATGTTCTAACATTCATTCAGCCAAAAATTTATCATCAAATAGTTTTTCTTATAGGCAAGAGCAATTGAATTACTTCAGAATAACGAACAAAGCAAACAGCTGCGGAATTTTATATAGATGAACGCATAATTCATTTACTTTCATTTTGTTATTTCGTAACTCAGAAGGAAGTTTTATTTAATTTTGTTTTCTACATTTTTGCATTTGCTACCGGAGAGTTTTTTTTTAATTTTGTCAAAATGATCGTTAAACATTGAACGATGTAGCCTGATTAGTTTAAGGTAACTTTGTTAAGCTGCTGCAGCAAAAGTTTACAAGCATTTTTCTCAAAAGAACGTCAAATCATTGTGAAATTATTAATCAATGTTTGACAACATCTCAAAATGATCAAAAGAGAACTCCATGAATGGCAGAAACGTCCAGCTGTTGCAAGTTATACAGAGTTGAATACATGTCATTTAAAAAACTAACATAAAAAATAACTAACGGAGCGTGTAATGTAATATCGGACGTGAACTTGAACACAGAATACAACATAACACAACAAAAAATTACAAAAGCGAGTTTTAACATACCTATATTAATCAATATTTGTAACAATACCTGGTTGAAACAAAAGAGCTATTTCTGTTCTTATCTAGAGTTGCTAGTACCATTCAACCATATTTGCAACAAACATATATAAAAAATGAGAGTAAAGTTCAAAAGTTTCAGACGCAAACATTTTGAAATGCATGCCACATGGACTTCATGCGATATATGGTGGTGGTTATGCATTTTATGGGCGGTTCGGTTTTGTTGCGTGGGTTTAGATTTCGATGTGTTTACGAAACGAATTTTTAATTTCTTCAAGTTTATCACTATTGAATTTAAATTATCATTCGAACAACACGTTATAACAGTTAGTGAGGCACTGTCATGTAATCTAATAATAGTTAATAGATTTTACCCAGACTCATTTGCTTAGCATTTTAAAAAAAGGTTTTCTATAATTTTTGAAATAAACCTTACAAAGAACTTAAAATATAAATTTTTTTGTAATAAAAACTTTTTTTGTTTAAAATAAATATGCTTACACGAATTTAATAAGAAAAATATATTTTTTATTTTTATTTTTTTGTTGTTTAATTGTTATTGAGTAGAAAGGGGTCAATAAAGTCCTTCTTCCTGTTACAAAATATTTAAACTGCTCCTGCTAGAATGGATTTTGTGGCGGTTTTTAATTGTTTGGCAAGAAGAGTTAGTTCAACAAAAAACAAATGAACCCTAACAATGAGTGTATAGCTGCAGGAAATAACGAATGTTGCTTCAATAAAACAAACATATCAGTTGGGTGAATGATGCGAGACAGGAAGATTCATTGCTGTTATTAATGGCTCATCAAGCTGCCGACAAAAAATTAAAATGTGAAAGATGAAGAATCCAATCTCATACTGTGATTTATTATGTTTCTACTTTCATGTAACAAAACAAACATTCACGCGGTGTATGGGTTATATTTTATCATTGATCTACTTGATTTGTTGACTGTTTTCCAACTGCTTAATGATATATCCCAATAAACAAAACCGCTTAACTGTGTTTTATAACAAATCAAAGAAAGAAAGAAATGTCAGAATGACAGAAAATTTTTTGAATTAAGAACTAAAAGTCCTGGATACGGCAGATCTTTGAATGGAAGCAATTAAAACTCCAGGTGCAACAAGCAACTTGTAACGCATGCCATTGTCCCAACAATCTTTTCCAACAACTATATGTGCACGTGTGATGTGGTATTGTGTGTGCGTGTGTGTGTGTGTGTGTGTGTGTGTGTGTGTCTGCCTGAAACTTTGTCTGTCTATGTGAAATATGGCGTTGTTTTTGTGTTCAAATTTAAATTACTTTTCTGCATTGCTGCCACTCATTTAACTCATATCTTGTTTACATCGCAGTCTCTATATTTGTTTTCATGTTTTCGGATACCGTCGATAGGCCAAATCGCCCGTCGAACGTTTTCATGATTAACATGTGGTCCCCGATCTTTGTGGCCCTCAAATGTTCGTGACCCTCAAGTCTACGTGGCCTGAGGCAATCTGCCTCTTTCAGATGGCCGTCTGGGTGGGCATCAATCAGTGTATTGTATTCGAGATTTTACAAAAATGCACATGAACGAGTATAGCAACAAAAAATGAATGAGCAACATAGAACCGGTGAGTAAATGTTAAAAAAACAATGAGACTTTGACCAGCCTACTTATTGTTTCAGCATGTTAATATTACAATTTGAATGTATATAATACACTTACTGGCAGCTTGACTGATTCAAAGTTAAAGATGTCCTTGTCCAGTTAAGACGATTTTGTTAAAATTATTACAGCCAAATGCATTGATTTCTTACATCCAAGTTTATGTAAAACTTTAGATTAGGTGAGACCTAACTTTCAAATTTTTCAGTGCATTTTCCTGTTCGCTATGTAATTTGAAACAACAAATATTGTATACATAGTTTTATGAGAGTCATCAAATTTATGGTTCAACTGTTACATTTTGATTTAATTGTATAGCAGAACGTTATATTGTGTTTATTCAAAATGTTATTCTTTATGACTAGCGTATTTTTGACAACATTTCAGAAACTTGTTTCAGCTAAAATTACATAATCAACATATTACCTCAAAAAAATTGATTATTATTTTATTCATCAAAACTTGATTTATTTTAATATTTCTACATAGATGCAACGAACCTGACAGACACTGAGAGCAAATTTCAAAGTGTCCAAGATCATTTCTTGAACAGCTTAGGAGAATGGAAAAAATTTCCGATCGCTTCAAACATTCTCATCTTCCTTTCAGTAATTGTGATTTCATTTGGAACGGCCGGGAACGCACTGGTAGTTGGGATAGTCGTCAAATCGAAAAACATGAAGACAGCCACGAATATCCTCATCGCCAACCTTGCACTCGCTGACATCATGGTGCTCTTCTTCGACCTGCCACTGACCCTGCATTACCAACTCAACAGAATTTGGGTTCATGGAATTTTTTTATGCCACGCGTTCTATATGCTCTTCGGAGTGTTCGAATGTGTGAGCATACTATCTATGACCGCCATAGCAATCGATCGGTGAGTCTTTCGCTTTTCTTTCTAAAATTTATTACCTATAAATTTGTTGGTTTAAGATGATTATCTAAACATATATTGTATTTTTTGTGTTAATTTGTGTTAAATAATTAAAGTTAAATGATAAAACTGAATGATTATGAATTTATTGTGGAACAAATGTGCGAATTTTATTAATATTAAGTAATCTTAAACTTTCTCTCAGAGTAATTACTTAAGTCAAAAATTTGTCCAAATATCAATAGTCAATAGTAATAATTACACCTAGAAAACTCGCTAACAGTGCAAGCACATGATTTCACGTTATAATAAAATTTCAAGAATAAGAACATTTTTTAAAAATATGCACTCCCCTCCACGCAGATACGTGCTAATCGTGAGGCCACTGAGCACCAAGCTGACGCCACTCAACGCCGTCCTGCTAGCTGCTTTCATTTTCCTCATTTCAACAATTGTTGCCCTGCCGGCCGGAATATTTGTGAAAGTGACCGATTTGTCAAATGACAAGATTGGATTTCGCATGGTGACTTGCGGTGACGACTGGCCTGATAAAGGAGATTGGTACAGAAAAATTTATACGGTTGCCGTCATTTTGATGATGTTCGTATTTCCATTATTTGTCATTGCTTGCCTTTACACGCTCATTTTCAATAAAATTCGTCAACGAATCAAATCTCGATCTGGCAGCAGCTCAAAAACAAATCGTATGTTGGTGACAGTAGTTTTGGTGTTTGTCGTTAGCTGGGTTCCTCACCAGCTCGTCACCAGCGTTTATGAGTTCTTCCCCTATTTAGACCCAGATCGAGAAACCATTTCAATGGTTGATCTTTATTTCAGACTGCTGGCTTTCAGCTCATCCTGCATTAATCCAATTCTTTACGGCTATATGAACGATAACTTCCATAACGGTTTCGTTAATGCTTTTGCATGCATTCTACCTAAATCCATAAAACTCCGATTAAATAAAACTGAAAAATCGTCGATAGGTGGCAGACCAGGAATTACCATCAAAAACATGTCCGCAGCCACACAGCAACAAAGAGGTTTTTTGAGGTTAAAAAATCACCTAATGATGGGCAAACTGAGGGAAATGGAACTGGAAAAATCAATGAATGAAGACGAGAGTGCCAACAAGTACTGGCACAACGATGGCAATGCAGACCACAAAACAGGACGGAAAAGCTTTAGAAAAGATGACGTGGAGAAATATTTGTGCGTCGAAATTAACGGAAGCGGACAAACATCCTTCCAAGAAAGTAGTTGTAACTTAACTTCAGAACCGAACAACGACGTCGAGCTGCTCCTTGGCAACAGAGTGCATGCGAACGTTCAACAACAGGTTAGCATTGTTCAGCAGGTCAGGCTAGCTCAGCAGGAGACTCAACACGACAACAGCAAACTTACGAACGACATTTCAGAGAGTCAAACAGCCAAAAGTGGAATTGATCCTACATGAACTGGACATCATCAAATTTAACTAATGAACCATGGCTGACGTCGTACTTTTGGTCATCTGCACATTGAAATAAGGAATGACATATGAGAGTAAGCTTGCAATAACCACTACAATTAACAGTTTTTTTTGTTGAATGGTTCGTGATTGCGCTTATAGTTGTTAATAAATTTTCAATATTCAACTTTCAAAACAATCAAAAATTTTTTTACAGTATATAAAAAATCTGTTTACAATGTTTCTTTCTCTTATTTGTGGTATGAATAAATATTTTATTCGTTCGTATGGAATGTTCGCAAATACTTGAATATAATCATATGCTTAATTGGTGTATATATAAATATAATTACTTATATATATATATATATATATATATATACATAAATATATATATATATACATAATTATATATATATATATATATATATATATTAGTTTATTTATTTATTCATTATAATCATATGATTTATTATGTAGAAAATCGTAACTCATGTTCGTTATCGATTGATTAATTTTGATGTCATTCCGAAGTACACACGAGATAATATTAAAAATTGACATTTATTGACTTGAAAAAATAATTATGCGTGTGTATGTGTGTAGTGTGTGAGTGTGTTTACCATTTATGCATTTTGTCATAACTCAAAATTCATTATATATATATATATATATATATAATTTATATATTCCAATGAACATTGTTTTGTCAGCGGATATTTTGACTATCAAGTAATTGTCGCTTATTTTTGATAACGTTATAATGAAGATTTCTAATAAAAACTGTTGAACATTAAAAAGAACGAAAAAATAAATTACTTTTTCAATCACTTCATCACACCAAAATTCGTTATCCAATGTCTCATAAATATTGAAGTGAATAAGGCTAAAACAAATAAATGTAAATTATCGCAGACTATCACAATCTAGCACACAAGCTATGTATAAATACAACAATTTTATTAACAGTGACAATAATTTCTATTTTTGAATTTAACAATCTTCTTTTCATACAAAAAAGTAAAGACCCTACATCTGTATATTGGGAAAATAATTAAAAAAGTCTGTATGCATTTTTACAATATTTCAAAAATTATTTGTATTTGTCCAATTGAATTTTGATAACACGAGCAAGCTCAATGGCGAAGCGTAGATGGCGTATTTTTTTTTCACAACGTAACGGATTTTGGAAGGGCGGAGCATGGGAATACGGGAATTGCGAAAACATATGGTTCCTATGAGATTCTCATAGGAATCGGTAAAACATTATTTTCGAAAATGGAAGTTATCGGGAATAAGGAATCACAGTTTGGGAATCTGAAATGATGGACGAAAATGGGAAAAAAGGGAAAAACAACATGTAAATGACCAAATTTAAAAGATTATTTTTTATAAAAATGTCAGTTGTCAGTTGTCTATGTGCAAGTAATGGAGTCATAAAGAAACATATGGGAAAACGCGGAAAAGTTAGAAATGGAATTCGTTAGAGAAATCGTGAATGACAAACAAAAATGAGAGCAAGTTAGGAACACATTTCGATTCCCGCTCACCTCTAGACTGTGGGTCCGTTTTCTACCGAATGAATCGCGTCAGTCAACCGCAACTAAAGAGATGTTCCATGTTTTGAATTATTGTTACACAAACAAATAAGCATCAAGATTTTGGGTTTTCAATCTGTAACGATGATCTAATTATAACGTTTTAATTTTATTTCAGAGTTTCGCAGTAAAATCCATAATTGTTTCCAAAGTTACATCAATATTTGTTTCGAAAAATATTTTATTTTGCAACAATTGTAATGGGAGTGAAACTTTGAAATATAATAAATAAAATATTTTTTATTCCAAACTCAGAAAAAAAAATTAAAATCTGCTGATAGTTATGCATAAAATAACGGACGCTTAAAAAATATATAAAATATGCAGAAAGTTTATAAATGAAGGAAAAAATATGTGCGCATTATTTATCGTACCCGAAGTGTTTTCATGTTTCTCTCACATGAAATGAAAACTAACTCTCAGTTGCAATTCTCAACGCGTAGAAAATTTTGTTTGTAAATTTGGTACGTCTGATTATTAAAATGGATAAAACTTGACACGTTTAAATGATAGTTCATTGCTTGCTGAGACGACCGCATTCTACACTGTTGAAAATTATATTATAGTTTTTATTTAGGGGCTAAATTAATATTTTGAAACACGGCAGAGGTCTTTTTGACTGTAACAGTTTGATGATATAATGAAGTTCATCTTTTATCGTACAACCTACGGACTTCAATTTCGCTTGAACATAAATTATAAATTATTATCATCATAGAGACAAAAAAATTCTCTTTACGTGGCGTATAACTAACAGTCTGAACATTGTGCAACAAGTTTCAAAATTTGAAAAATAAAAATACGGAGATCACTACATACCCATGTTAAAAAAGTAAAACTTTGTTTTTTCAATCTTGTTTGAGGTCATAAATCTTTTATTATATTAAACACAACCAATTCAGTTCTTATGAGAAAAAACTTACTGATAAGAGATGTAAAATAAGCGAAGCAATTGTTCAGACCGGTCCACAAGCGTGGATCCTTTGAGCGGCACCAGATATCACAAATACGTTTGGATGATCATTTTTTTAACATACTGACAATCATCGTTATAAGATGATCGATCTTTTTTTGTGCTTATCATCTTGACGACTTGAAAAACGAACGGTTTAATCATTTTATTTTTAAGTGTTTTGAGGAGTTTTTGGTCATCAAATTTTCTCTAACAAATGATATTTTTTATATTGTAACAAAAAAAAAAATTGTTAAAAGTCTTATTTTTTGGACTGTTTTTTATAATTTCATAATTTTCATAAAAAAGTGCAAAATAGAATTTCATAAATTTATATAATAAACGAAACTCGAGAAAGGTTTTCTACAAAGGTTTTCGATTTTTGATTTCTGGGGTAAAAAATGTACCTCAATCATATTTTTTAATGAAATTTAATATTTTAAGTTAAGTAATATCAAAATAGCAACATTCACACACTTATAAATTAAAACATTTTCCACAAGAAATATAAACAATTCAAAAGTTCAAGGTCGTGGGACAAGGTTTCGACACCCCAAACAAAATTTACATAATTACCATTTTGTTTAATGTTTATGGATATACAATAAATCAAGATAAACATGTATAAACACTCTATTTTTTGTATCACAGATACTGACCGTCTTTTAGTCACACTAACTTGAAAAATATACATTTTCAAAAGATTTTAATCACACAAACTCGAAGAAATATACATTTGCAATAAATTCAGTTTTTTAAGAATATATTTGATCAACGTTGAAAAAGATTCGTTAACATTTTTTTGAAAAATTCGTTCTTGTAGTTTTACGAGACATATTTTATTTTATTAATACATCATTATAGCAGTAGAATCCTTCATGGAACTTCAAAGAGCGTAGTTTCACGGTTTATGGTTTATATTTTTATACACACGTGTTCGTTGGCATGAACATGTTCATGAAATTAAACATGAACATAAACATGAACACGAACATAAACATTTATTAAGAAAGAAGAATGTGCCAATCTCACTGTACAACTTAGGTGGTACAACAAAATTAATTTTATATTTCTGCTTGTTGAACTTTAATTTCATTATAACAAGTAGAACTACCAAGAAAGAAGCCACGTGATCATGCCCAAACCTGTACAAAACGCACACACATGCACGTTTGCACACGCACATGCACAAACACGAGAATACAACTCGCACACACGCACTCGCCCAACCATAACGCTTATTAAATATCCAACATGGTATAAGTTGCATTGAAAGACACTTCCTTCTACTTTTGTTTTCATTTTTATTTTTTGTTTATGGGACCATTTTTGCCGCTGGAACATTATCATCTGTGCTCCATTATGCAAGTTTATTGTGCGTGCACATGTATACATGGGATCGTACCCACGTTTCTATATTTGAGCCATTTTGGGCGGCGGGATGGTGTAACGAATAAACGCCTGGCACTGCTGTTACAGCCACCGCATTCGATTGCCAAGAGATCAAACTTCGTCACAAATCTCAGTGTCAAAATTTGATTTATCTTACTTGTGGCAAATAAACAAAATCATTTCCAAACTCTCAAAGAAATATTTCAAAGCTAATTCGGTTTAAAAGGTGTTGATGACAAAATTATGAAAAGATTTTTTAGAAACAATTAAACCAATTAACGGACAAGCGGCCGTTAAACTTAGGATATATTACAACAACCACAAAACTTCATCCCTAATTTTGAAAAACAAATGCACAAGAAAGCCAAAAACAATAATAAACCGTAGTCACTTTGTGCACTCATATAAATGCAAAATTGATGAGTGTGGACACCAAAACTCTGCCTACATCGGGATGACAAAAACGAAATTATTAAGAAGGCTTACCATGCATGTTCAGTCAGGAGCAA